TTATTTATCATTTGACCACATGTTGAAACCTTTTCTATCTACATACTGAAGAATCCTACAGTCAGCCTTTAAACACTCTGCATTTCTTTGCCAAACTTGTAGCTGAGTATCTTGTTCCAGTCGATTTGGGGGCGGGTAACTGGAAGCTGCCGGCGCAAGGCCTTGAATGTGGTGTCTGACATTGTTTGGTGGTTTTTACTAACTGCAGTCTCATATTCATTTTCTGAACTCTATGATTTTGATAAACTCCTTGGCAGTTTGGACTTCATTCGAAACAGTTACTAAATCTTGTACAACTTTAAGATTAACCAACTGAACATGGCCATCTTCATAATAGTGAACCTGAATCTTGAGCATTCCAACCACCTGGGCTGTAGATGGTGTAATAGTGAACTTCCACTCTGATCTCCAACGACCATTCCAGAAGTTTTTAGGCTGAAACTGGAGGCTTTTAATGCATGCAATAATAGTCTGTTGCCCATCTATAGTTTTAGCATAAACAGTACAGAAGCCGTTGGAATCATGATCTTTCACATAGGCTCTTAAAGCACTGTCACAGGATTCTCTCCAAGACTTCAAACCTCCATCTACTTCTTCTGGTTGAGGGTCACTTGCTTCTTTCTGTAAGTGATCAAACTTAAAGGAAATTTTGTTTCTTGGATCTAAAAATTGGCTATTCCCCAGGTCACCATGCTCTGTAATCAAGACCTGTTCTTCATATCCTTCTGTCTTCACAGGTGTGAACTGGTCCATGTTATACTGGGCAAATGCATGTGCTGCTCCTTCCCTGAGGAGACTGTCATTGTTAAGTAGTAGCCGGACATCATGGACTACTTCACTGAACTCCCCTGGGGGTGCATGAGTGGTGAATTTAGCAGCTATGCATACTTTCTCCTCACCTGACATCCGATCCTCCTCCAAGTGGGCCATCTTGGGCTGCTCTGAATCTGCCTCTTTTATCTCTCACATGTTCAACAGATATTTAACAAGCACCCAGTAGGCACCGCACACTGACGTAGGAAGTGAGTACAAAATGAAGGCGAGAGAAATTCTTCCTCTTGCAGAGYGTGCAGGCTGGTGCAGGCAGGGAGAAGGTCGCGCGCGCACAGGGGCCTGTGTATTACAAGGAGATCTATAGATCAATATGGGCCAATAGACGATAAAGATAAAGGCTGTAAATGGATAAAAAATTACAGATAGACATAAAGAGATTTTGAGAAATAGAGATCTAGAGATGAAAGATGACGGAGGAGTATTGGGAATAATTGCAATGACGGGGGCGGGGAGCGAAGAGGTGGTATTGAGAGAGCTTGGGGAGGGGTGGAAATTGACATCAGTTGGCAAGGAATAGCTTGGCTCACGCAGTGCCCCTCCTCGGAGACCTCAGTGTGTATTTCACAGGAGGCCTCATACCAGGAGCGGGTGCGATGCCTGCCCTGAGAAGAGCCCCCATGCCTTCCTTGACTGATCCTGGAGTGCACTGGCACAGGAATTTCGTCCTGCCAGACTCTGTCCAACACACAACAGCAGGAGTTTCTCTGGGAGCCAACTCCAAGCCTGGATCCTCTGCAGGAAAGAGCTTTACTGAGCAGCGCTGTCGGGCGGGGCAGCAGCATCAGGAGGAGGGGCATGCTGACTTCGGGGTCACTGAGGCTCTGGAGCCAGGATGGCCCTACAGGGGCCAGCAGGACAGATCCTTGAACTCTTGCATCGAGTCACTGGACGCTGGTTGTCCCCAAACCTGGAGTGGCTGCTCRCTTCCGAGGCGGGTGACGACAGCGAAGGGCTAGGATGTGTACCTGACCGCCAACGCTGCCGGCTACTGCGGACAAGAGTGCCTGGACAGAAGGAGCGGCCACCACACTGCCTTTGTCTAGGTCAGAGCTGCCTGGTTTTTGGTGCAAAGCTCGTCTCCACTCATTGTCAATCATACTGGTCTCCTTGAATGTAAAGTTAGACAATCGTGCTATTTCCTATGGTGGGCCTGAATATTGGATGAATTGGCACATGTAAAAATGCATGCAGCTTATCATGGTGGGCATCCAACAAATTATAGGTAGGATATGAATCTTATTTTTGCTCTCAGAACACCACCTATACATTTTACTGTTTCTACCTTAACAAATGAGATTCGGATTATTCACCAAAGGTGCCCTTGTGCACAGGCTGCCCACCCTCCCTTTCTCCCAGTGTGTGTRGTTTAGATGATGCAGCCCCACTCTTCCGGCTCCAGGCTGGATGAGTGACTCAGGCCTGGCCAATCAGAGCAGCATATTCCACCGCAGATCTTGGAGTAACCATCTGAAAGGACTTAGCCAATGAAACCTTTACTTGGGGCTTCTGCTGGACTATCATAAAAGTTTGCTCTTTTACCCTGAAAATCCTATAACTCTAAGGATCACATAAAGATTCTGAAGTGCCAAGGAATCCTCTTTTCTAAAATTTGTAGAGAACACACCTAAAAATAAAGCCAACCCCAAAGAAACAGAGCCACTCTAGGAGACAGATTCTGAAGGACTGTGATTGAGTTCCTGCTGTGCCTGAAACCCACCTCCTAGGTTTGATGGTAACATGAATCAAGAAATTCCTTGTTTGAGCGGAGTTTGRACTGGGTTTTCTCTATGGCAACTTTGCAGGGACCAGCACAGCCCAGCCAGCCCACACTCCACTCTGACCTCTGGGGAAGTGAAGGTAGCCCTGGAGAATCGGAGACTCTGATCCTGATATACGAGAGTGGYCAGATAACAGCCAACCACAACCACAGCCCATCACAGCCCTTCAGGATAACCGCTAACATGACGTGATGAGAGGGCACTTCACCTCCGAGGTCTTCCTCCCCCAAACCCATAACCACAGTCTAACCAGGAGAAAAATATCCAATTTCAAAAAAGGGGAAGTCCACAGAATACCTACTCAGACTCTCCCAAAGTGTCAAGGTCATCAAAAACCAGGAGAGTCTAAGCAGTCACAGCTGAGAGGAGTCTAAGGAGACACGGTGACCAAGTGGRTAAGTATACAGTTGGTCATGCATCGCTTGAGGACAGAGTCACGTTCTGAGAAATGCGTCACTGGGAGAGTCTGGGCCGGTGCAAACATCACAGAGTGTCCTTCACAATAGGGGCTACAACGTCGCCGGGAGCTAGGATCTTGTAGGGCTACAGTCAATTGCTTACCAAAGGGTGGTTTTGCTGCACACGATCGTATTACAGAAAAGCTAAGAAAACTGGAATTTAAAAAAGAGGTTTTTGTTTGGGTTTCGTTGGTTCTTTTTTTAAGGGCGAGAAGGGTAGTCTCCACATTCCCTTCCCGTGAGTCTTTGCTCTGAGAGTTGGGTGCYTGATGACCACAGGCATAACTCCCTCCACTCTAGAAATGCGAGCTAGTTTGCATCTCACTGGATTCCATCCCTCAGGACAAAGCCTCTTCCATTCAYTCCAGCACACAGGGTCCTTGGTTAGGTACTGAGGCTAGGTACTGTCCACTACCCCTTGCACTCAAGTACTTTTCAAACTGGGGAGGAGTGGACAAGAAGGTGGGGTGCTCCTCCCGGTCATAACTTTCAGAGAGTTCACCTTCCCAGCAGTTATCCTCAGGGCTAAGTCATGCTTAGCCGGGAGGATCCCATGCTTCAGTAAGCTCAGCCATCACAGGGCAGAGCAGGAGGGTGGGAATGAAGGTAGCCCTGGAGAATCAAAGACTGTTTTCCTGATATAAAGAGAGTGGCCAGAGAACAGCCATCCGCAACCAGAGGCTCTGAAACATCCAAGCCCAGAGTTCCTTATTTTAAATCCTTAGATTTAATTTAGATTTTTTTTAGAATTTTAGATGAAAATTACTAAAAGCTCTGGCAGAATCCAAAACCACACCCCATAATTAAGTGTGTTAGTATTATCAAAGCCAACAATAATACTCACCCTAAGTGGGATAAACAACACAGTCTCATGTGAACTCCAGTCCCATTTCACCAAAAATGAGTTTTGGTGCCAAACTTACAATAAAGTTAATGGTTTTCAGAGTTTCTGTGATATTGGCATTTGGGATAASAGAGTCTACACCTGGTTATTATCCTTTCAGCTTCGACCCCAAAAGAAAATCAGTAGAGGTTGAGCATCTCCAGTCTGGAAATCCAAAGTCCAAAATGCCCCCAAATCTGAGACTTTTGAAGACTGGCACAGGCCACAGTTGAACTCCACACCTGACCTCTCARGCAGGTCACCGTCAAAACCCACCTGCACAAAAATATTGTATGAAGTTACCTTTGAGCTCCGTGTAGAAGGAATATGCGAAGCACACATGAATCTCAACGTGTATTTGCAAATATTCCAAAATTGAAAAAAAAATTGAAACCTGAAACATTTCAGATAAGGGATACTGAGCCTGTGTAATCTCTCTGTCCATYCCCAGTCTCCCAGAGCTGTGTTTGCCTCACTTCTTAAGTGTGAAGATCACTCCTTAATGTTCCCTTCAAACTTCCCTCAGCCACATCATAATGTGGGGGAAGCCAGGGCTTGGCCTGGGTTGGCTGCTGTCCACTACCCCTATAGTTCCCTGACCTCACCCCTGTGTCACTTTCGATGGTTCTCAGCCTTGAGCTCACATCAGTCACCTGCCCGATGAATGCAACCCCAGAAGTTCTGATTCAGGAGTCTGGGGCAGGGACTGAAGTCTGCATTTCTAGCAAGCTCTCAAGTGCTGCCCACCTGCTGTTGCCAGGACCACACTCTCAGGGCCCACTGCATGACATCTCACACTGAAATGAAATTCAATAAACACTCAAATGCATTTTTAATCTCTATGAAGATTATCTCTCAATGACCCTGTGTGCATTTGATGACTCACAGCTGCCTGCTGCTTCCACACAGAGATGGAAAGCCAGTTGGGTATGTGTCCTGCTGGGAAAGGCTCAGTTGCCATGGAATTTTATGGGATACCACCCTGGGATGCCCAGGTTAGGGTATAAGAATCAAAACAACAACAACTTTAAAGGAAATTAGGAAGGAAGACTGAATTTTGATTTTAAATAAAATTCCTGAATTGATATTCCTTTCCCAACCCACTGTAATATGTTTGGGGGTGGGCAGCAAAAAAACTTTGCAAATGATTTTTAAGTCATTAAACATGCAAAGTGCTAATCTCCTTTTAAAATGCATGTCAGTCAACGTGGAAACCCCAGTGGATGCAGTTTCTCCTCCTTTGGGAATCAGAGGAACTGTGCACACTCTCATGAGTTGATTTCTTAATTTGCTACTTTCTTACCAATCATCTACTTACAGCCCAGGTTATCTTCTCTGCACACATGAACATATTTATTCCCAATTCTATTGCTTCCATCTTCATCTTCCAGATCTCACCCGTGAAGCCCAGGAAAATCTCTCCTTATTCCTGCTTGTTTCCATTTTGGCAGGAGAACTGGCCAACTGGTAAACACAAGCTAGTATAGATCCACTCACAGGAAAGCTACATGTTTTTAGATTGAATTAGAGTCAGGAATCAGTGCAATTAACTCAAACTGTAGTCCTTCAAGGTTGACAGAAGTCTCTTCTTTATGTTGCATTTCCTAAAACATCTTAGTGATAACTAAAAATAGATTCCTATTGGCTGTTTTATAATTTTGAATATTCGATCAGTGTTCTTATTTACTTCCATTATACAGTTTGTTATTTTATCTACATGGTAGATTTAACTGATTTTGGAGGGTTGATCTGTAAACCTAGTCATGATTTATAATTTTGTAAACAAAGAACATGTATTTTTGCATCAGAATAAAGACTTAACAATCTTTTGGTTTCTTTGTATTGTGTTTGCTTTTGTTTACTTGTTTGGTTCTGGGGCTTGATTTTGATTTTGAGAGGTGCTAACTAAGCACACGTTATGCCCTTGAGATACACCACCCACCCCAGCCAATCCATTTCTAAGGCCAGGACTAAATG